TGGGGGCAATATGCTGACTCTGTAAACCGCTTAGAGAGGGCTGAAAGCCCTATGAAGCGGTATATAAGTCTAACTGCTATTGCTATTTCTATTATTTCACAATCTCATGCGGAGGTGATTATAATTTTACGGCAGTTGAATAAAAATGAACAAAATGCATTTAATTCGCTTAAATCTCCTTTTTATTTTCCTCCCTATTTTTTTAACCTTGGGATTCTGCCTTTCGGACCGACAAGTCTGGAAAATAATTATAAATATAAATACAGATATGATTAAAACATCTATATTTTTCCATCACGTTTTCCTTCGTAACATTACAGAGAGTTCTCGAACTTAACAACAGTTCGTTTTGCGAGCGTTCGAAGCGATGAAAACAAAGGATTTGGGGATGGCTGTCTTGCTTAGCAGCAGGCTTGATGACAGTCGTAAGTCGAGGACTGCCTGAACAGGCAGTCCTCAACTTACAACAGTTCATTTAGTGACCATTCTGAGTGACGACGACAATGAAAATAGAGACTTAGGACTGTTTTTCACACTTAGCGACCGTTGCAGCATCCCCGTGGTCACAGGATTAAATTTCAGATGCTCGCCCACTGTTTCATACTTATGACCGCTGCTGTATTCCAAGGTCATGTGATCCCCTTTTGTGACAAGCCAAGTCAACAGGGGAGCCAGATTCACTTAACAACCAAGTTAGTAACTGAACAACTGCGGTGATTTGCTTAAGAACAGTGGGGAGAAAAAGTCATAAAAGGGGACAAAACTCAACATCTCACTTAATGGCAAAAAATTTGGGCTCAGTTGTTGTACGTTGAGGGCTACTTGCATTAACAAAGGATTCTGCTTCCCCGTCATTGTGGCTGTGTGTTGCTAAAGCACCGAGTCTCCTTTTCCTTCATAAAATTACAGATAGTCCTTGACTTACAATGGTTCACTTAGTGACCAAAGTCACAACGGCACTGAAAAAAGGGACTTTTTTCACACTTAACGACCGTTGCAGTCACATGCTCCGAATTCAGATGCTCGGCACCTGGTTCATATTTATGACAGTTGCAGCCTCCTGAGGTCACGTGATCCGCTTTTGCGACCTTCCGGCCAGCAAAATCAACGGGGAATCTAGGTTCCCTTAAGGACCGTCTTACAACTTCCACGCCTAACGAGCGTGAAAAGAACAGTCGTAAAGTGGCACAAACTCCCTTAACCAACGTTTCACTCCCTGACATAAGTTTTGGGCTCACCTCTGGTTGTAACTTGAGGACTACCTCCACCGATCCTTTCTGCATCCTTGCTTTATTGGCACCGGTGTCCATCCAAGGTGATCTACTTGAGATCTTCCAGATCTTCTTGCTGTTCAGGGTGGATCTTCTGTCTTTCAGATGGAGCCCAAGAGGACAAGATGGAGACGGACGCAGACGCCCCACAGACAGAGAAAGTCAAGGTCTGGCACAATCGAATCCCCTGTTGTTGTGGTTGTGGTTGTTGTGATTGTTGTTGTGGTTAATGATTCTCCTTCCAGATTGAGTGTATTTGAATTAATAGAATTCATTGATACCTGAGCCTCGGGGTTGAAGCGCTCTCTGAGCTGGGTGGTTTTCTTGCAGACGTTTCATGACCCAACTAAGGAACATCATCAGGCTAGAAGGGAAGGGGGGGGTTGTAGAAAGGAGGAGGAGGAGGGAATAAAGGAAGGAAAGGATGGAGGGACGGAGGTAGAGGAGGAAAAAGAAGAAGAAAAAGTCTGTGGGGCCCTTGGTGCTCTCTGATCTTGGCTTGAGAGACCGCCTGCTGCCAATTACCTCCCAAAGACCCGTCAGATCACACAGGGTCGGCCTCCTCCGGGTTCCGTCTACCAGCCAATGCCATCTGGCTACTACCCAGGGAAGGGCCTTCTCTGTTGCAGCTCCGGCCCTTTGGAATGAACTCCCCGCGGAGATTCGGACCCTCACCTCTCTCCAGGCCTTCTGGAAAGCCGTCAAAACCTGGCTG